GGGGGGTTATACCCTCCGTTTATACAAAACTGAGAACCCTTTGGCCAATGATGCTCCTGACCAAATTTGGTCAAAATCCTCTGAGCCATTCAGGACAAGTAGCATTTTAAAGGAAAAAGTTGACGGACGCCGGACGACGGACGCTGCACCATGGGATAAGCTCACTTGGCCCTTCGGGCCAGGTGAGCTAAAAATGCTTGATAATGACTTTGAATGTTCACTAAACATAGGCCATGCATACCACTGTATCAGTGATTTCAAAATTGTATATCTTCTACAAAGATTTTCCCAGATTAAACGTTTCACTCTTACTTAGTATTTGAAGATTGTGGCACTTGCTGCTCAATATAGGAATTCTCAATATGAAACACCTAGATAATACCTATCACTGGGAATAGTTAAATAGGTCACACTACTTCACAGGACATATATACATACCACTGGGCCAGAAATGTCGCAGGCTTCCAGTTTTTTCATTGGCCCGTCACTGGTAAGAGAATTTTCCGTGATTGACTTTGCTCGTTTCACAATAGACGGAGGCCTAGGGGGCGCTCTGGATTTCCTGTTTCCCAATTTACCCAGAAAGCTCTTTCTGCTTTGCGCACGAGGCAGCTCAATTTTTTCAGCTGGGGGTACATCCTGAGTGGGACTAACAGGTTGGTCCAAGTTATCACACCGTACCTCTGTCACACTGGCTGACATTGCAGACGGGATGAAAGAGACGTCGGGTGACGATGGCGACACCGAGGGCTGAGAAGTAGATGAAGACATTCGCGTGTCAATTGGGGGTCTAGGTCGAGCCTCTTTTCCAGGTTTTTGGTCTCCAAGTCCCCGACATATCTTCATTTCTAATTCCTTTGTGAAAATAGAGTTACGATTTTCTGGCGCTTTGGCTGGTGCCTGTGGTCGTATGGGTGCTGCAGATCTTTTAGGACTTTTTGCGCGTCGACGATATTTTGTAGGTTTTCTGTCACTGTTTGGACTTTCTGAACCCCTCTCCTCTGGTCCTTCGTGACTACTGATGCTAGCTGACCGTTCTTTTACAGACTCGTGGCTCTCTGTTGAAGAGGACATCTGTTGTTTAGTGACAGTCGATGTGATGGGTTGGGGTGAGACTGGAGGTTTAGTCTGACCGTGGGATTGTGGGGCTGTCGGGGGAGGTTTAGCAGGTTTTTCAGGCACATTAACTGGCTTAGGTCTGGTAGTTAAAGGTCGTGGTTTTGTAGGTAAACTGGGAGTTTCCTTATCAGAGCCTTTTCTCTCGATACCTTTCTCCGACTCCTTGGAGTTGCCTCCCTTATCCTGTCCTTTTTTATCTATTCCCGGGTCTGAATCCTTCCTGTCCAATATGTTTTCCTTTTTTTCTGTCACTTTATCAGATCCTTTTCTTTCCACTGGTTTCTTCTTTTGGTTTTCCTCTTTGACTTTTTCCAGAGACTTAGAGGGATCCTTTTTAGAAACCTTCGGAGATCCTTTGGAAGCCCTAGGCATTTCTGGAGACTGTTTCACCTTTTTTTGTCCACCATCAGAAGTTGATATGATAACACTTGTTCTTGGTGGCTTGGCAATGGTTGGCAAAACTTTCATTTTCATTACAGGTGAGGATCCTACATTCTCTGTTGCTGATGGCGATGGAGGCCCTTCTGTTTTACTCCCCAGACTCTCAGTAGAACTACCGTCTGAGTTTGTGATTGAACTTTGAGATTTCGTTGTGCTATCTACACCAGACTCCTGCTCTGAGGAACTATCAACTGAGTCTCGACCTCGCCTTAGCATGTTTCTGAAAAATGATGTAATTCCCTTCTTATTTGAGCGTTCTGTTTTTGATTTGCTTGTTTCAACTATTTCTGTTTGAAAGTCTGATGTGCGTTTTGGGGAGAGGGGCTTCTCACCTTGTCCTTGATCAAATATTGGCTTTCCGACAGGAACCATTTTAAAATTAGGTTGATCTGATAAATTTGGAACACTTTTTTTTGCTGACGGTTCAGGGGGTGGACAGGAGGGTGGGCGTGGGGCAGGCTTTTTACCTTTCTTTTTAGAGAGGTCTAAAGTTGCCGCAAGTGATGCTAATTTTGCCTCAAACGCCTTCGACTTGATGCTCCCTTTGGGGAACTTTGACTCAAGTTTTTCTGCTCCCTCCTCTCCTATTTCTACGACTTGCTGTAGTTCTTCCTTTGTGGCCTCTGGCAGGAGTTCATGACCCTCAATACCTTTGAATGATTCGCTATCACTGTACTTTGCTAAAACATTATTCAGAAGATCTACCAAATCCATGCCAGCTGTAGAGGATTCTAAATCAATGTCGGGGTTAAATGTCTCAAATAAATCTTCCCCTTCAGTACTGAACACCTCATCCTCATCCTTCACATCTTTCTCCTCACTTTCATCATATGGCACTCTCTTATCTGGTGAAGCCTCAATCTCCAAGACATGTTTACTTTTCTTTGGTAACTCTGGTTTGACCTTTGATAGATTTGTTTCACTTGAAGATTTGTGCCCTCCAAGTTCTCCGTCATGCTCCGATATTCTCTGTAGTTGAATATTTGATAAATGTTTTGACTTTTCCTCGAACATGTGTTCTAACTTTTTCTTGGAGGATTTATTCCTCAGTGGAAATGTGCCATATCGGCGAGGGATAAGTTTATCACAGTCTCTGAGCGTGGCGAACCTGTCCACCTTCCACAGTGTTAATAACTGAACGTCCTCGAACTCTTTACTCGAGTTTCGTCTCACAGTGTCCACAGTTTTATTGAGAAGGTTACGATTATCACCGTTCCACAAAGTATTTTCTAACGCCAGAAGCAGGAACTCTTTTTCCTCCTCCGTAAAAGAAATGTCCTCACTTGAGTCAGAATCGTCAAGTGTATCTTCAGGTTCAGAGGTCAAATTATCCCATCCACCATCGTCCCCGATCACAATCGGTTCATCCTGCAGAAAAGACACTTTGGACTTGTTCAGCACCATTTTATCGTCTGATGTCACTTCCTGTTTCACATCTGTTTTCTTGGTCGACACATCCTCTGTCTCACGATCTACCGACCTGTGTCGCAGTTCTGGTTTCTGATCGTCAATAACACACCAATCTGCATCACTGATTGGCCAATCGTCAGCACTACTGTCTCGACGTAACTTAGACGACCCATCAAACACATTCTCTAATGTAGCGTTAAAGGATGTTCTCATCAGAAGAGAGCTTCGTTTGGCGGGCACGGGAGAACTCTTTGGTTGTGTGTCTTCAATAATCGAGTGTTCTCCCTTCGGTCGCTGGCAGTTGACGCAGAGTTCCTTTTTCCAGGCATTCTGGATAAATTCGTAGCATGGATGTGACATGCCTTCTTGTCCTTGGATTATCATCTAGGTACAGCATAGTCTACAAAACATAAAACACGCAATTATTCTAAAAATGGTGCATCAATGTATGACATCTACTCTATCAACAAAGACCTCTATTAAAGTCAAATCAAAATATACCAGCTGTGTTTCCCATTTCCTGTCCGACCCATATTTTCATGCCGACGCCAATACATTTTATTGGTTTTTCACAGTACTTCACTGTTATGCATTTATGAGCCGTTTAACTGTTTAATACATATAATTTGCTCGTGGCCAGTGTCCGAGTTTTATTTGAAGATAGTAGCTAAGTAGCCTTACATAATTGTGGTTATGATTTACGCTGGGATCTGTACATTAGTGTGACTGTCTGTCGTCTAGGTGGGGAGATGATGCTGACCGAAAGAGTCAATTTTGAAACACAAAATGCATGATTAAGTTGCTACATAAATACATACACTTGAAGTCAAGTTGGATTTGTATATCTTGTGAATATGTTGTATTTTTTTTAATTAATAAATATGAGATTTTAACCAATATGCAGTGTTAGATTACTGAAAGAGCTTGTTTTATCCTCAAATATTCATGACTCAACAAGGGAAAGGTCAGATCTCAGATAGAATCGGCAAATTGCCATATCTGATTGTAGCCTAATAAGCGAATTAGTAAAATTATCTCATGGCACTGAGGCCAAACAAAACAAATAATGTTCGTCTTAAATATTGTACACAAACTATGAATCTAACCCCTTTCTTTACATTAAGCATACGTGACCCGTTATAATTACTGAACACTTGTTTCTAAACTTTCTTTTTCCCCGTCAAGGAAAGTACGGATACCAGGGTAATTACACTCAGCAGGTATACTAAGTAACAGATATTACAGAACCCTGAAACACAACATCACATTTGTTAGACTTCATAACTTGAATCACATAACTTAGTTAATATACAGATTTTCTGGAGCTCTGAGGAAGGCTAAAATGTGTGTATCACTGCCTGTCTGGGTTCCTGTAGGGTAATGAATTTCCCTCTCCATCAATTACAGCCAACCACATCAACATGAGGTGTATGTAAGTTGGTTTGATGATCGAGAGACACAATATGTTAGTGTGTTAGGGGAGGGGCTTACTAACAGTTTTTTTTATATACACCAGGGGTCGGTGATTAAATGGCCACGTGTAACTCATTTACACATGTTTGTGAGCCCTAGAACACACACTCCCCATATTATAATTGATTTCAGGTGACAAGTGAATTCTTATATATAAACCTCTTCTTAGTAAAGGTTCACGTTTCTCCCCACGTATCTGTTATAAGCTAAAGCTCGTGTTTTACTCTCAAATAGAAATTGGTGTTTCTCTAATGCTGTTACTACAGTATAAAATAAATGTGTCTTACTCCAATCACAGTTAACTCATTCACCCCTGAAGACACATTTAAACTCTTCCAATTCAAGGGTTGGAATAGTTCATTATGAAACTTCAGGGATGAATGAGTTAAAGTTAGAAGTGAGCAGGGGGTTCACACAGCTACATACCCTATACCCACCAAAGTGGTAATCGTAATGTACCTTTGAATCATAACCTCGACCAATGACCATCAACAATCTAATCCCGCATATATCGTGATGTCATTATACTACAAACTTTATACTATGGAAGGACAATAATTTGGTGGTGGTGGGGGGGAAGGGGGTTGTTGTAACCCCCTCAACTAAGGGGGCGATAATAGTTAAGTGTACTACAATAAAGACTGAAGTAGAAATGGACGTCTCCCCCACTTAGTTATTGACTTGGTCATTAGTTCCTACTTCACAGGACTGCGTCTAGGTAGAAATGGACTGTACAAGATTGTAAGGAGGGGGCTTAAAATCCATGGTTTTTAAATCAATTTTTACTTTTGTTCTTTCTTTAAAACTAATTCAAGGCATTCTACTGTATTCTATAATCATTTTCAGGCTGAAAATTTCAACTTTGTGTTATATTTTCAATATGAGAGATATTACTGTATTTTTTATCTTTTCACAAGCGAGATGGCTGACCCGTGGTTTTACAATGAGGCAGATTAACAGCTAATCTGATTTACAGCCTCAGTTGTTGCAGTGCTAACAAGAGATATAAGGCAGCTGTTCAGATTAACAGACAGCTAGCTTTACGCTGACTTTGAGAAGTTGTTGATGAAGGTGACGGATGCCGACAGTAAAGATGTAATCACTGTCTAACGCATGTCCTACCACCATACAAAAATAGTTGATCGGCTTGAGGAGGCATCGCATAACTTATTCCGTCACTTAAATCAAACTGCAAGTAGTTGTATACAAAGATGATGAACTTAAAAAATATACAAACTCATTCTTTGCTGTTGGTTATGTATTATTTGCTGTTGGTATGGAATATTTTGGTGTGGTATGGTTATATACCTACAAACTTTCACAAGATCTCTGAACTGTTCTCTACGAGTTCGAACCTAGTTTATACTTACAGGGATAAGACAGACCACCACCAGCTGATGTGATATGTACAATAACACTTTCTTAAGTGAAATAGGAAGCAAACCAAAACCAAAAACAGTTGAATTAGTTTTTCACTTTAATACAAAATCTAAGTAAATCTATTCAGTTTACTTTATTTAACAAGCAGCTAAATCAATTAAATGCATGCATGTCTGTTTGGACAGTTGTACATGTGTCAATAATAAAATGGTTAGGTTGGCTCAATATCACCATGTACTGCACCCTAATGGCCCAGGCAGGCCTACCTACTGTAATCCGGCTGTGTCCCACTGAATGGTATGGAAGAGGTGACTACGTAGGGCCCCCTGCAGAATTGAGGGTGGGGTGGGGGGTTCCATTGATTTAAGGGACTTTGTTGTGAAATGTATCCATGCTCTACAACTTTCCACCTGCTGTCCTTTCTCTGCTATGTGGCCATCGGTATACACGACATGATTGTGTTGATGGCCCACTGAGACTACATCCTATAGTGAGTAGCCACTGGTAGGGGACCAGCGGGATTAGCATTGATTAGGTCAACGATACTTGATGATATGAGTAATTATCAGGGTGTACAGGAGAGTCTGACCCAGGAATTCAGCCCGAGTGACAGGGGGGAGATCACGACAGACTCCTGACCAGGGAGGAGGTAGACTCAGCAGGCTGGATGGTAGGGGACCTGGCCAAGGAACTCTGCCCTAGAGACAGGGAGATGGGCAGACTCCTGACCAGGAAGGAGGAGGAAGACTCAGCAGGCTAGATGGGGGTTCTGACCAAGGAACTCTGCCCTAGAGACAGGGAGATGGGCAGACTCCCCACCAGGGGGATTAGTAGTACAGACTGTACCATGTTTCTTATGTAAACAAGCCTTGTTCTCTGACCTTCCTCACCATGGTCAATGTTGTGACTGGAGGAGAACCACAGACAAACAGATACACTGCCCACTAGGTCACCGGACCCTCGATCACTATCTACAGAACACTATATGTATAGGAGGAGAACCACAGACAAACAGATACACTGCCCACTAGGTCACCAGCCCCTCTAACACTATCTACAGAACCACAGACAAACACATACACTGCCCACTAGGTCACCGGACCCTCTAACACTATCAACAGAACCACAGACAAACAGATCCACTGACCACTAGGTCACCGGACCCTCTAACACTATCTACAGAAACACTATATGTACAGGAGGAGAACCACAGACAAACAGATACACTAACCACTAGGTCACCGGACCCTCTAACACTATCTACAGAACCAGACAAACAGATACACTGCCCACTAGGTCACCGGACCCTCTAACGCTTTCTACAGAACCACAGACAAACAGATACACTAACCACTAGGTCACCGTACCCTCAAACAGATACACTGCCTACTAGGTCACCGGACCCTCTAACAGTATCTACAGAACCACAGACAAACAGATACACTGACCACTAGGTCACCGGACCCTCTAACGCTTTCTACAGAACGACAGACAAACAGATACACTAACCACTAGGTCCCCGTACCCTCAAACAGATACACTGCCCACTAGGTCCCCGGACCCTCTAACAGTATCTACAGAACCACAGACAAACAGATTCACTGCCCACTAGGTCACCGGACCCTCTAACGCTTTCTACAGAACGACAGACAAACAGATACACTAACCACTAGGTCACCAGACCCTCTAACACTATCTACAGAACCAGACAAACAGATACACTGCCCACTAGGTTACCGGACCCTCTAACACTATCTACAGAACCAGACAAACAGAAACACTGCCCACTAGGTCACCGGACCCTCTAACAATATCTACAGAACCACAGACAAACAGATACACTGCCCACGAGGTCACCGGACCCTCTAACACTATCTACAGAAACACAGACAAACAGATACACTCACCACTAGGTCACCGGCCCCTCTAACACTATCTACAGAACCAGACAAACAGAAACACTGCCCACTAGGTCACCGGACCCTCTAACACTATCAACAGAACCACAGACAAACAGATCCACTGACCACTAGGTCACCGGCCCCTCTAACACTATCTACAGAACCAGACAAACAGAAACACTGCCCACTAGGTCACCGGACCCTCTAACACTATCTACAGAAACACTATATGTACAGGCAGACCACTGGAGAATGAAAGGGACCATTGTATTGCTTCAATAATTCATTGATAGCTTTAATAATACATGTATCCTAAAGATAACTGCTTAATGTAGTCTAGATATAATTTATCAAATTTACTCATTCACCCCTGAAGACACATTTGAACTCTTCCTATTAAAAGCTTGGAATAGTTCATTATGAAACTTCAGCGGTGAATGAGTAAATCATTAATATATTATTCATTAATCTGAAATTTATTCATTTTGGTGTTTGCTTAATATGAAGGAAACCAGAGTACCTGGAGAAAACCCAGGTGTTCAGGCAGATGACCCCATACAATGTACCTCTTTACGTCTAATCAGGGAATCGAACCCCCGCTGCCTTGGTGAAAGGTGAGCGTGCTATACATTGCGCCACCCGACCA